CCTAGGGCTTCAACATGTGAACTTTGAAGACAGCCAAGTCAGCCTCCCCGAAAGGTGGAGAAACAGGCGGTAGTGATGGTTGCTAGCCGGAGACTGCCATCAGCGACCCTGAATCGTGCACTTGACGCTGTTAGGAAAGTGTATTTTTGGGCCCTCCCTGGTGGCGCAATGGGTTGAAGCCCAGTACTGCAAGCCCAGAGGTGACCACATGGCGCAGCAGACCTCTCCTGACCTGTCCACTGCTCCCCTCAGCAGTGTACTTCATCAGTCGGCCTGTTCTGCTCCCCACTGTCTCTGATGAATCCTCTCACTGCCACTGCACCTCTGGCCTACACCCCAGTTTTGTAAGCATAAATAAATAAATCTAGGGAAAAAAGATATACTGTATGTTGTACATATTTTATCACAATAGAAAAAAAGTGTAGATAAGGCAGGGGTGGAGGCTAGAGTTATGTGTGGGAGAGCCTCCCCGAGGAGGGGTGAGTCAGGGAAGGATGAGCTGGTGGAGGGAGCTGCTGGGAAAAGGGGCTCGGGAGCAGGACCTGACAGGGTAGAGAGGCGTGGGAGGCCATGTGGTGACAAAGGGCCTGCTCAGGTAGCCCTCGAAGGCCATTCCGAGGGTGCCGGATCTCCCCTGAGGGACTGGAGGCCCCGGGCAGTGGGCAGAGGTCCTGCTGTGGGGACCAGAGCCGAGGCCAGTTTAGGTGTCCCTGACCTGGGCAATGCGGCTTGCACAGGCTGGCCCCTGCCCTACAGTTCCGGTGCTGACCGCCAGGTGTCGTCCTGCCTCCCCTCTGGTCCTCCCGGACCCACCGGGCTCCTTGCTGCCAGCCTTCTCCAAAGCTGAGTTCCAGGTTATCTGCTAACTGGGTTCACATCCCAGCTCTGGAACTTCTCAGCTTCGAGAGCAAGCAAATCGTTAAGCCTGTCCAGCCTCGAAAGGGACAGCCCTTAACTCTTAGGGTGGCTGAGCTGTGGCCAGTTTAGGTGTCCCCGGCTCTCACAGGGTGGCTGAGGAGTTGTGGGAAAGCATCTGTCCAGTTCCCAACACTCAGTGAGCGCTCAGTGTGGAGACAGGGACATGATGGGGCGTCCTGGGACTGGGCCCCGAGGACGAAGCCCTCCTGACACTTGTGGTTTGGGCAGGGGCAGATGCCAGAGAGGCCTGTGGGGAAGGATCTGGTGGGTCGGGTAAAGACAGCCGTTGGGAGACAAGTGACCAGGGAAGGCCTGGAACATGAGCTGGGGGTCATGTGAAGCGACCAGTTGAGGGAGGAACAGGGCTTCTGAGCACTGCCAGGGAAGCTGGGCCTGACGAGGGCTGGTGCAGCTGTGGCCATTCCAACTGCAGCTGTGTGCCCACGTGGGCGGCGGGTACAGCCGGGCCCTGCGGTGCTTGAGGAGCCTGCAGGAGCCGTCAGGGCAGAGGCCAGTGGCCCCCAGAGCCCTGAGCTCCCCCGTCCTCTAGGAAGTGGAGAAGTGCTCGCCAGCCCCGGCCCCTCGGAGTGCAGCCCCGTGTCCGAGCCCCGCTCCCCGGGACCTGCCACCTCCCCGGCACCTCCAGACCTGGACCCAGAGGTGGTGCGGGGGGCCCTCCGGGACTTCCTGCAGGAGCTGCGGAGCACCCAGAGAGAACGGGTGAGGCGGTGTGAGCGGCTGGGTGGGGACGAGGCGGCCGAGAGCCGCAGGTTGTCTGAGCAGGGTCCCTTCCCCCCCATGTTGGGTGACAGGACGAGCTTCGAGTCCAGACATGTACCCTGAGTCGCCAGCTGGCCGAGATGGAGGCCGAGAGGGACAGCGCAGCCTCGAGGGCGAGGCGGCTGCAGAAGGCGGTGGCCGAGAGTGAGGAAGGTGAGCCAGGCCTTGCTGCCCTCCACCCTGGGGAGGCCGGGCCTCGGTCTGAGCAGCTCTGTCACTGACCTGGCCACTGTCACCCCGGCCCTGGCCCGTCTCCCCTGGGGGATGCTCCTGGCGACCCCACCCTTTATCGACACGCGGCCCTGAGCGGCCGGCCCTGTGGTGGGTGGGGTCAGGCTGGGCATTTGCGGCCGGGCTTGGGCCTCAGGGCTGGGCCTGGCCCGGCTGATGGAACTGGGCCCGCAGCCCGGCGCAGTGTGGACGGGCGGCTGAGCGGGGCCCAGGCCGAGCTGGCGCTGCAGGAGGAGGGGGTGCGGCGCAGCGAGCGGGAGCGCCGGGCGGCGCTGGACCAGGTGACCGCCCTGGAACGGAGCGTGCAGGCCACCGAGAGTGAGCTCCGGGCCAGCCAGGTAGGAGCGACGGGGCGGGGGGGATGGAGTCTTGTGCCCGACCGGGTGTCTGTAAGTGCGGCTGTGTGCCCGCTCCCGGCACCCGGCACCACGGAAGGCACCGCCTGGGGATTCCTCCAAAGCCCCTTGGGGTTCCGTCCGTCCAAGGTCACCAGGCTGTAGAAGAGCAAGTCGGGGTTCGAGTCTTGGCCCTGCGCCTCGCGGCTTGTCTGATACTCATTTCCCTCCCCTGTGAACGGCGTGGGGGGCCGATACCTGTCTCCCGGGGATGGTGCCGGTGCACATAGGCTAACACGCGGGCCGCGCTTTTTCAGCTCTGCACACCCCGTGAGGGTGCTGTGGGTTTGGACGGCTGTGCGCGTGCGCCTGCGTGTGGAGCACAGAGCACAGGCCCGGCTGTGTTAGGCCGGACTCCTGAAGCCTCCAGCCCTCCTCGCCCCCTACCACCCTCCCCTGGCCCTCTGCCCCGAAGCCCACCCCTGCTCTGGCTTCCAGCCACACTGGAGCTGGATTGTTGTGTCTGCGGCTCCAGCTCTGGCCTGGGGCCCAGCCGCAGGAGAAGGCCGGGAACAAAGCTGGGCAGGAGCCAGCGTGGGCTGCCGGGTGTAGACCTGGCAGGACTGGGGCTTTGAGCAAGGCGGGAGAGGGGCCGGATCGGGGGGGTGGGTGGGGGTGCAAAAATGACACCCCTTAACCTGCCCTGTCTCTGGGATGGTAGTAGGAAGCTGTTTTTCTGCCCTACCCCCAGCCCAAGCCTCCTTTACTGTCTAACCCCATGAGGAAGGGAGGGGCACCGGCCCCCCCACCCCGCCAAGCCTAATTACGCCCACGGCTGCTGCCTGTTCACACATGTAGCTTCTGGGCCCACCTCTAGAGAGCGGGGCAGCGAGCGGGAGAGGCCCCGGAACCTGCATTTGGGCAATCCCCCTAGGACTCTGAACGAGGGGCTGTGGTACCCCTCGGCCAGCCCATACCCCACTCTACAGAAGTGAAAAAGGCCCTGAGGGCAGGAAGGGACAGGCCGGGTCACACAGCCCGGGCTCAGCAGAACTGGGAAGCGCAGCTGGGGTGACTGAGCCCCAAGAGGGTCCTGGACTCGCCCTAGTCCCACAGGGAGTGCTTGGCCTGCCACCTCGAGGCTGCTCCCCACTTTCTTCTCAGGGTCCTGGGGGAGGTGGGCGCTAGGGGTGGGCAGGACAGCTGGGGTCTGAGCCGTCCCCCACGCACAGGAGAGGGTCAGCAAGATGAAGGCCAACGAGGCGAAGCTGGAGAGCGACAAGCGGCGCCTGAAGGAGGTGCTCGATGCCTCCGAGAGCCGCACCATCAAGCTGGAGCTGCAGCGGCGCTCGCTGGAGGGGGAGCTGCAGCGCAGCCGCCTGGGCCTGAGCGACCGGGAGGCCCAGGCCCAGGCCCTCCAGGACCGGGTGGACGCTCTGCAGAGGCAGGTGGGTCCCCTCCACCCTCCATCCTCGTCATCTGCAACCCTGGGCCCAGCGCTCTCCAGGCCCACACAGACTGCCCCGCACTGGCGGGAGGCTTCCCAGTGCTCCTTCCCGCCTCACAGGTGGGCGAATGGGGGTTCAGAGAGGCGATGTCATTGCCCAAGGTCACACAGCTAATTAAAGGCGGAGCCTGTATTAGACTTTCGGACCCGACAATGGAATGTGCCTCCTAAGAGGTGTACGGAGCCTCTTCGGAGAGAGTTAGGTTTCCCGTTTTGCTTTGGCTGCCAGGAAGCTCAGCTATGGATGAATTGCTCAATAACTGCTGCCCCTGCATGGCTTACCCAGCCAAGGGCATAGAGAAGGCGGTGACTGTTGCTCTTTCTTCTCTACAGCAGGAGAGAGAGGGACCGCAGGGTCTGAGACACACCAGGTTACTAGCTCTCTGGATGAGGTAGCCCACCAGCACAGGGCCGGGGCCAGGGTGCAGCAGGCAGAGCCACTGGGAGCACGTGGAACTCTGAGTGTCAGTGATGAAGGTCCCGAGAGGTGGGGAGCGCTGCGGCAGCTCCCAGTGGAGCAGGCCACTTAGGTCCTGTCTGGCCTCCTGCCAGGTGGCCGACAGTGAGGTGAAGGCGGGCACGCTGCAGCTGACGGTGGAGCGACTGACTGGGGCCCTGGCCAAGGTGGAGGAGAGCGAGAGGGCCTTGCGGGACAAGGTTCGGGGGCTGAGGGAGGCTCTGGCTCAGAACAACGCCAGCCTCACCAGCACCCAGGACAAGAATCTGCACCTGCAGAAGACCCTGACTGCCTGTGAACATGACCGCCAAGTGCTCCAAGTAGGGGATCCCCGGGCCGGCTGCTGCGGGCTTAGTGAACGCCTATGTCAGGCCAGGCTTTGGGGGCCAGCGGTGGGGACTCTGACCCAGCCCACGAAGGGAGGGGTGGGCTCAGTGAGCATCCACCAGATAGAGGCGGCTAGGGGTGGGCCAGTAAGAGATCAAGGCTGCCAGCCATGGCGTGGAGGAAGCCGGGGGCCAGCGGGGCAGAGTTGGGGTCTGGGTCCTCCGCACCTCAAGCAGGCCGGTGGCTTGGCTGTGGACCAGGCTCACTGCTGGCCACCCCGAGGTGGTTGTGGCCCCGAGCCTCAGCGTAGAGGACCCCTTTGCCGGGGGGCTCCCGGGCTGACTGCGCCATTGGCCCCACCCCCCAGGAACGGCTGGACGCCGCGCGTCAGGCATTGTCTGAGGCCCGCAAGCAGAACAGCTCCCTGGGCGAGCAGGTGCAGACAATGCGGGGTGAGCTGGCCGGCCTGGAGCTGCAGAGGGCGGAGGCCGAGGGCCAGCTGCAACAGCTGCAGGAGGTGAGCAGGGCAGGCCCAGTGCTGTGGGACCTTGTCACCGGCTCACCCTCTCCCAGGAGAGCAGGGTCCATTCGGCCTGTCCCCCAAAACACAGCTGGAGGAGTGAGGCCCAGAGGGACTCTGACCTCAGGTGGCCCCGTCGGCCTCGGGCATCCCGCCTGTGAGTGGGCGTGGCAGGCCCGCACTGTCAGCCCCCAGTGCCCATGGGCACACCGGCCCAGAGGGCTCAGGGCTGCTGGCTTTGCTGCAGGTGTTGCAACAGCGACAGGACGGTGAGGCCGCGGCCCTGCGCGCCGTCCAGAAGCTGCAGGATGAGCGGCAGCGGCTGCAGCGTGCCCTGGTGCAGCTGGAGGCCGAGAAGCAGGACGCGGAGCGGTCGGCGCTGCGGCTAGAGAAGGACCAGGTGGCCCTCAAGAAAACACTGGACAAGGTGGGCTGCCGCCGGGGGCCTCCCCTCACTTCCTCTGGGTCCCCACCCAGGCCCCGCCCACTGTCCCCGCTCTCTGCGCCAGGGCCTGGGAGCCTTGGGTCTTCCTGGCCTCTGCTCCCGCTGCCTCTAACCTAATGCCCCTCTCTGAGCTGCCCCCCGCCCCACATCCCCTGCCCAGGGATCCTCTGTCCCCCTCCCCACCGCCCCCCCTCTCCTGGGGACCCTGACCCCCTCCGGCTCTTCCCACCCAGGTGGAGCGGGAGAAGCTCCGCAGCCAGGAGGACTCGGTGCGGCTGAGTGCAGAGAAGGGCCGCCTGGACCGCACGCTCACGGGGGCTGAGCTGGAGCTGGCCGAGGCGCAGAGGCAGATCCAGCTGCTGGAGGTAGGCCTGGCCCCACCCCTGGCATCCGCCTCCCCCTGGCCTTGGGCCCCACCCCTACTCCTGCCTGGCTGCCCAGGAGCTGCTGGAGGCTCGGCCACCTCCACCCAGGCCCTGGAGGGGGCGGCAGAGCCAGGCCCCAGGGCAGTAGTGAGATGCTGCAGCCTGGCACCGTGTTCAGGCGCGTGGTGGACGTGCACCCTGTACTGGAGCACGAGGAGGAGCCCAGCTCCCAGGGCTCGACCTGCACGCGCATCTGTGCGGGCCCTTCACGGGTGCTGTCGGGCCGCTGCACGCACGTGCGCCCACGTGAGCATGGGCGCTGGTCACCTGCTCGTCGTCGTGCCTGTATGAATAGGGGCCTGCTGCGTGTTTGAATGCTTCTGTGTCACACACGCACAGTGAAACTGGGGGGCCCTGGGTACCCTAACCTCGGATTCGCAGGGCCAAAGCACGGGGCGTCTCCTGCAGCCCCTGCCTGCATTCACCCGCCCCGCCAACCTTCAGGCACAACCGCCCCCCCCACACCAGCCAGACCCCCAACTAGGCTCCTCCTGCAGGCCCAGGTGCTGGCCCTGGAGCAAAACCATAGCCCAGCCCAGCTGGAGGCAGACCGGCAGCGGCTGGAGCTGCAGCGGGAGGTCGAGCGGCTGCAGAGCGCCCAGGCGCAGACGGAGCGCACCCTGGAGGCTCGGGAGCGGGCCCACCGGCAGAGGGTGCGCGGGCTGGAGGAGCAGGTAACTGGCTGGGCCCCTGGCTGGCCGCAGGCGAGGCTGGGCCAGGACGGTAGTGAGGAGCTGCAGGCGCTGCCCCGGCTGGCCATGAGCTCTGAGGTGTAAGCGGCCCTCCCCGGCCCCAGCAGGAATGGTGGCTCCAGACCCAGGGCTCAGTCCCTTTACTCTGGTTCTCTGGCTGCACACCCGGGCAGGCCCTCTCTCTGGGCAACAGCTCCAGGTTGGGGTTATCTCAGGACCCCAGAGGAGAGGGGGTTCTTTCCCTGCCCCCCGGCAATAGCCAGAGGCCCGGGGATGACCGTGTCTGGCCAGCTCAGGTCACAGGCCCTTCCTGAGTGTGTCCCACCCAGGCACGGCTTCAAGACAGGCTGCCCTGATAGGCCAGGTCTGGGTCACGTTTCAGGTCTGAAGATGACTTGGGTGGGCTGGACCCCAAAGACACAGCAGTCTGAGGACACCTGGCTGCTCCAAGGAGCAAAACCAGAGAGAACATCCTGGATCTTAGATCTGTTTTTCCTGAAACAGGCAGCACTGGGTCCCTTGTGCGGCTGCGGGGTCCCTCCATCAGTAGCCCCCCTTTCTCTGCAACCACACTGGGGCCCTAGGCTGCTCCTGCCTTCTTCTCTAGGTGTCCACACTGAAGGGACAGTTGCAACAGGAGCTTCGCAGGAGCGCTGCGCCTTTCTCCCTCCCAGCCCTGTCCCCTGAGAAATGAGCCCCTTCCCGCTGGCAGCCCAAGCCGGGAGGAGGGCCTCCTCTCCAGCAGTCACCCACAGCCTGGCTGGGTGAGGAGCAGCAAGGGCAGTGCTGACCGCCGGCACCACACCACCGCACCCCAGCGGCTTCCCGGCACTTCAGGCCCCTGCAGTGTGTGGGCCCCTCAGTCCAGGCCCCGCTAGGATGAGCCACTCCATACTGCAGGAGGAACCCCTGAGCGACTCGGGAAAGCAGGCCTGGGGACCCCTGGGTGCCAGCCAACACTGGAGTAAGGGGCAGAGGAGGGGCTGGAGCGGGGGCCCAGGCCCACCGCTGACCTCCCAGAGACCTCTCTGCCTTGTTCAACATGTTCATGGGCAAAGTCCTGTGTTCAGAGCCGCTGTATTTTTGTACCTTTTTACCATGTTCACTGTTGGGAGTTATTTTGTAACGGAAAAACCCACTTTTCTAAACCCCTTTGTGCACTGTTGCTTTACTGTCACTGTGCCTCCTCGGCCGGAGCTTGCAGGATGCAGGTGTTATCTGGGGAGCTGTAGGGGGGCCTGTGCGCCCCGGAAGGAACTGCCCGCTCTCAGGCTGCCTGGGGGTGACATGGGGAGGCCACCCCGGCCGACAGGGCCCCAGGCGGACCCCACCTGCAGGCGGGCTCGATGCTTCCAGGCAGCGCCCCTCGGGGGCCCCCCTTCAGCGGCAGGGACCTCTTGGCAGCCAGGTGAACAAGTGGAGGCCTGGGCGCAGCCTGGGAGGAAGGGGGTGTCGCCCAGGCTCTACCGAGGGTGCGGCTTCATCGCCCAGAGCTTGCTCCTCTGAAGCAGACACCTGCCGCATGGTCCCGGGCGACACAGGTGGGCATGTTCACCCCCAGGGCATGCTCACCCCCAGCGGTCCACCGAGCCAGGTGCCCCCCATTGCCAGCGTGGGCCCTTGGGCAACCACTAATGTCTCTGGGCTTTGTTCCCCTGCTGTGAGGGCTGTTTCCTGCACCCAAGCAGGCCCGTGGGGAGCTGCAATACGGCTGTGGGGGTGTCCCAAGTGGCTCGGCTGCTTCTGCCTTCTGGACTGCACCAGCCTCCCCCACCAAGAGTCTTCCTGCCGCCACCCCCCATGCCCTCATGGCTCGCACGGGCGGCTGTGAATTTTGGCTTGCACCCCTTTGTTGACAGGGACTCATGTCCTCACCAAGCATCCCTGAGCACGAGCAAGCAGTGGAAATAGAACCATTGTTTCCAATGGGACACACAGACACCCCCCTGCCCCGCAAGGGTGAAGAGGCAGGGCTGGGGTTACAGAGGCCAGGGCGGGGGGTGGTGTCCCTGACACACCTCCTCCCTGGAGGCCAGGGAGCCGCCTGCCCTGCTCTGTGCTTGTCCCTGAAAAGGTGACTCAATCTTTTGTAAAAATGTGTTTTTAATTTTGTATAAAACAAAGCCGGTCTATGCCCAGGGCTCTAGGAAACCCAGGCAGACCAGCTGGGGTGAGGGGCGTAGCCTACCTGGGGGATGGGGGACTGCTCCCAGCCCAAGGAGAGGCGCTGAGAGCCCAGATTCCACCTATAGGCCTGGGGTGCCCCTCACCCCAGGGTGAAGGCTGGGTGGCAGGGAGTCCCCAGGCCCTGGGGCCAGGCTGGGAGAAGGGCCGGAGGCCACCCCCGGGGCCTCAGTCCACTACCTTTTTACAGAATACAAGGAATGTTGGGCTGGGGAGAAAAGCACCAGGTGAGACAGGGCCCGAGGGCCCCAGATCTGAGGAGCGTCCAGGGTTCGGGGGGTCAGCGCCACCCTAGCAGCCCCCGCAGCTCCTGACACAGGAGGCTGCCACAGATTGACACAGGCCACTGCTGGCCATCACGCCACATTTGGAGAACTTGTCCCGGCACAGGTCGGCTGTTGGGGAGCAGGAAGGAGTCAAGAGTCAGGGCGGGGCTCCCTCCTCCACCCCTGCTTATTGGGGTTGGGGGGGCGCTCTGCGGCTGCAGGCAGCAGGACCCCGAGCGTCCTGTGTTGATAGCATGAGGCGGGAGGATGCGGGAGCAGGAGCAGGTGGGGCCCCGCGGAGCGGCGGCGGAGTTGTCCTACCTCGGAGGAGCTCCTCGTGGGCGCAGACCGTGCGGACACAGATCTCCCTGTTGACCACGTACACGCGGCGCAGGCTGCGGGCAGGCCGGGGGCAGCGTCAGCGCCGACCCAGCGCACTGGGAGAGCCCCCCGGGACCTGCGTGGGTGCCCGGAGCACCGCCCCAGGCCAGGCCTCCGGGAGTTGGGTCCAGCTCCGGGGCTGCCTTCCCCAAGCCCCAACCTGGTGGACGGGGCCGCTCCCCAGCCCCCGCGCTCACCTGTAGAAGCAGATCTCGTTGAGACACTGCTTGCAAGGCTTGTGGATGGAGTAGAGCCGGGTGCAGGGGTACTGCTCCTCGCGGCAATCTGGGTGGCAGGCGGGGTCAGGCCAGGGGCCGCAGCTTGGGGCTCGGAGCTGGGGGCTGCCCGCCACCTCCCCCAGGACATGGCTCTCGCTCGGAGTCAGTCCGGGGACAGGCCCGGCCCCAGGCACACACAGCATCGCTGCACCTTCCGGGGCTGCCCACTTCACACTCAGAAGCCATATCCAGCCACAAGAAGGGTCGAGCACAGATCTACACCCGCCCCTGCCGGGTCCCACACCAGTCGCCGTGACTGGACCTCGGCCCACTGCGCATGCTCAGAGCGTGCACACCCTGGCGCCTGCGCACTCACGGCCTGTGCACTCGGGAGCCGGGACGCACCGGGCCTTATCTGGCCTGGCTTCCTGGCCTCACCTCACCCGCCACCAGCACCCCCCAGTCCTCACCCGCCATCAGCACCCCCTCAGGTTGGCAGCATGCCTCCAGCACTCTCCCTGCCCCCCCTTTCCCCCCAGCATGTGGGGATAGTGGCTCCTCTTGAGGCTGCGGCCTCCAGCCAGGCCCCGGGGCAGGGCTCTGCCAGAGCTGGGCCTGGGGTTGCCAGCCTTAGGCAGGGCCCTGCAAGCCCCCACGCCCACCCCACCGCAGCCGGGCAAAGGCTTGGCTCTCTCTGTCCTGCTAGTGCTGCCTTCCTGGCCCCAGCTCCTGGGCGGTGCCTCAGTTCTTCCAGTGTCCATAACTCACCAAGAGGCCCGGGCTCTGTGGGCTCCGTCTCTGAGTCTCCTGGTTCTGCTGTTGGATGGCAACAGCAGAGGTTACTGGCAGGGTCTGTTTGGAGCGGGAGTTCACCTCTCCAGGCCCAGCCAAGCCTCCCCGCCCCTCTGGCTCACGGGCCGTGGTGGCCTACCTGGGGTGGGGGCCGCAATGACTTCCTGTTGCACGTCTTGCTGGGACTGGAACTGGAACTGCTCCTCGGGAGGCCGAGCAGTCACCTCTGTGACAGGAGGTGATAAGGGGGGCTGCACCCTGCCCCCCTCCCCCCCAGGTGGCCCGAGCCCTTTACCTTGATAATCATAGTAGTCCAGGTTGTCTGAAACAAAGATGGACGTGGAATTGGTGGGGGTCATTTGCCAGCTCACGAGTCATGACTGAGTGGGAGCATCACCCCCACCTGTGGTCCCCATCACCCCCACCTGACCCTGGCTGCAGCCTGCACACCTGGGGGCCAGGCCTTGGTGACTGGCAGGGGCAGGCCGGGGGGTGGGCAAGGAGCTTACCAATCTGGTCGTTGTAGTGGGTGTACTGGACATGGTCCGGGAATGGAGGCAGCGGGTCCAGGTCATACTGGCCCTGAGCCAGCAGGCCTGCTGTCAGGGAGGCAAAGCATGAGGGAAGCCCCCAAGCGCTTCTGGGGAGGGTGGGTGGAGGCTCAAGGGCTGTGAGAGCCTAGACCCCAGGGCTACAGGATTGAAACTCCTCCCTGACTGGACACCCTTGGCTGGCTGTGCACCTCACCCACCTCACTCTTCCCCTCTCCCTCTTGCTGGCTCCTGGCTGTTCCAGGACCTCAGCACCCCCTGGCTGTCCAGGCCCTTGCACTTGACTGTCCCTGGGCCTGTGATAGCTAAGCTGCTGCTTCTTCTTTAAGTCTCAACTGAAATTTCAGGTCTGCTGAGAGACCCTGCTGACCATCCGCCCTCGCCCTCTCATCCTTCTGTTTATTTTCATCAGAGCACAACCTCTGACATAAATCATGTCTCCTTGAGGATCTGGGCCTCCCTTCCCTAGCCTGGCAGTACCACGGGCCAGAGTTGTATCTGCCTAGCCCAGGGCCTGGCACGTAACGGGCTGAGTAAACAGCTGCTAAATGAATGAATGTCAGATCTGGCAGGGCCTTGTGATCCCCACTGATGGCTCCTCACTTGACCAATAGGGACTTTGTCAAAGTCAAGGTCAAGTCTGTGAAGGGAGGGGGACTCCAAAGGAGTCTAGAGTATGGGTGAGCCCGAGAGGGCCAGTAACAGGAGAGTGGAAGCCTGGGGCCACTCTCCAGAGCCCGCTGCCACTGCTGGGGGTGCTGTGGGAAGGGCCCACCAGGGGCTTACTTTGGGAGGGGCTGGCCATCCACTGTGGTCCCTGGAGCTGAGGGGCTGAGTTTTGGCCGACAGGCATGGCAAAATCCACTGCCAGTTCCCGCCCCACACAGACCCCACTCACACCCCCCTGAGGAGCACCCCCATAGCCACGAGGCCACTTACCAGGCAGGACAAGCAGGAAGAGGTAGGCAGCTCTCATGGCCACACGGTGAGGCGGCTGGGCTGGTGTCGGAGGACAGCTGGAGGAGGGGGGGTGAGCTGCATCCCAGGCCTACTCCCCGAGGCCTGTAGAGCCCACCTGTCCCCCCAGTTCTGAAGGAGGCACCGGGAATACACACCCTAGAGAGCTGGGGGGCAGGCAGCTGGGGGCAGGGCACTACTGAGGGGCATTCGCTGTCCCTGATGGTCCACCCCAACCTGGCTCCAGAGTTGATCTTCAGTGAGGACAACCCCCACTGTAAGGACACCTCCACTCTCCCAGTGCCTGGGGAGACGGTCCTAATCCCCTGGCAGCAGCTGACCAGTCTTTCTGGCCTGGCACCTCCCCAGGTAGCAAAGGATAGTAGGGATCTCTGACCCAAGGCTCAAGGCTCATCCTCAGGACCGTGCCTGGTGCAGCCAACATCTCAGCTGGGCTCAGCACCAGCGCCAAGCCCGCCACCTGCTGCCAATTAGCCCCTGGGCCCTGAGCATCTTGCCCAGCAGGAAACCACATGCTCACGGGCAGGGCCCCTGGGGCAGCCAGGCCGGGCAGGGCTCCCAGCCCATAGAGTCCTCTCCTGCCAGGCTCCAGGCCTCCCAAGACCTGGCGGTCTCCATCACGAGACTGAGGCCTGTTTGTCTGCAGCAGCAGGAAGCACTTAGGGTGGAGCCTGATGAGGGCTTTTCTGGATCCTAGAAGGGCAGCACTGGAGGGCACCATGATGCCACCCAGCCCTGGGCGCCGAAGCCCTGGCACTCTGACTGGTGCTGTGTGCGTAAGTTTCCTTGGAGAGGACACTGGTCCACCGTGTCCACCAGGCTCGGAGGCCGGCCAGCCTCTTGTCTGGCTACACAGTGGACTTGGCGGAAGCGTCCGCTGCGAGGGCTGGAAGAAAGTCCCGGGCTCACCCATCCAGGAGGGTCCCCCTTCCCCACGAAGTTCCTGCTTGTAGAGGACCGCAACCTAGCGCGGCCTCTCCACACCCCACTGGGAAATCTGGGGGGGACGGGGTAAGAAACATGGGCATCCGACCCCTTCCCTCCCAGTCCTGACACCTGTTTCCCCCTCCCCAAGTCACGGTGGGCACCTCACTGTCAACCCTGACCCCAGAGGGAGAGGACTGCTGTGAGGGGCTGGGCTGGGGAGAGGACACTTGGCTCAAGCTGCCCACTGGCGGGGGGACACCCCATCCCTATTCTAACAAGACCTGGGCTCTTCGCAAGGGCCCCTCGAGCTCCTGTGCCCCGGGGCTGGGGGAGTCAGGCTGTTCGGGGCTGTCCCTGCTCAATGGCGGAGTTGGGGCCTCCGAGGTGGAGGCTAGGGATGCCCTCTGGCCCCAAAGCCTGCCCCGCTGGGCCTTTCAGCAGGTCTGGCACCCAGGCACTGTTTATCGAGGGAAGGGGCCCGGGAGACGGGGCTACAGAGAAGCGAGGTGAGGGAGTAACAGATCCCTCCCGAAGGACCACACTCCCAGAACTTCTAGACTCGAATTCTGGGGTGATGCGCAGGCCAGCACCCGCGGGCGAGGCCGGCCCCCACTCTCCGCGCTGCAGACCCGCCCTTCGGCCTGCGGAGGAGGGGCCGACTGGGCCGCGGGGCCCCTGCCCCCACGCCGGGCCGGGCGAGCTGCGGGAGGCCGCGGCTGCAGGAAACCAGATGTTGCAGCCGCACAGCTGGGACCGATCAGTCGCGGAAACTCGCTCGGCCGGCCTCGCTCGCTCGCGCTCTCCGTCTCTGATCTCTTTCTTTTGTCTCTCCCGTCGGTCCCGGCCGACACCCCCCACCCCGCCCGCCACATTCCAACCTCCTGGGGAGAACAAAAGCCGCCCCCATCCTCGACGCCCCGCTTCTGGCTCCCCGCGAGCTCGCGTTCTCCTCCCTTCTCAACTCGCGCCCTCCCCCGAAAGCGACCCCAAACTTTCCACGCGTCCTCTCAGCATCTGCTCAGACGGCCCAGCTTCAGGGTCTCAGGCAGCCCTCCCCGGGATGCGGGGCCCGCAGGCTGCGGCCCCCCACACCCGCGGTGCCCCTGCGCGCGCGCGACCTGAGCCCCCCGCCCCCACCCCCCTAGCGTCCCTGGTCCGGCGGCCAGACCCGCGCCTACCTGTCCCGGTCACTGCCGCCCCGTTCCGAGTCCGCCCGCCCGCCAGAGCCGCCCCTTTGCCCGCTCCGAGCCCCCCTCCGGGCCCCCGACGGGGCGGGCGCCCGCCCTCCAGCCCCGGAGCCGCTGGGTCCTAACGCGAGCGCCACTGCTGGCCTCGGGTCTTCAGCCCTCTTCTGGGGACAGCGGAGGCAGCCGGGTCATCCTCAGGGGTCTTCACGTCCTACCTCGCAGTGCCCTTTCTCGCCTTCGTGGGAGCACTTCTGGCCTGCAGTCCGTGGTTGTGAGCTGGGGGTGTTGGTCCATTTCACAGAGGGGAAGACCAAGGTCATCAGTGTCATTTGTTCAAACCCACGTAGCTAGAAAGTAAGTCTTGTCCGCCCCTCTGGCTTCTCCCGGCCACAGGACACCTTCCCCGGCCACTTGGCAGTCTCGTGTTAAACCCCTGCCCCTGCTTGCCACAGGACCTTGGCTCATGCTGCGGTTTCCTCCCGGAGCGCCGTGGAGGTCGCCTCCGTTGGGTTGCAGAGCAAAGCCTCCTGCCCTCAGGGAGCCTTCCCTTGCTGTTCAGATCCTTCTGCTTACCGCTCACAGCTGTCAGGTTGCAGTGTCCAGGAAGTGCTTGTGGAATGAGTGAATGTCCACTCAATTCTTCTGGGAGACTGACCCGGTGGGGGTGCGGGCGCTGCCTGGTCACAGGAGCCTAGACCTGAGGCAGGGGATTCCTACTGATGACCGGGATGCCCCTTGGTCAGATCAGACCTCCTCACCCCCTCCATGCCCCCCACAACTGCCTATCCCTTAGATTCCAAGTCCTACTTGGCAGAAACTAAATATACATCATTTGTTCCCCAGGGCTGCTTTGCCAAATGACTGGAAAAAAAAAATTCTGCCACTGCTCTCCCTGCCCCCAGCAGGGACTGTCCCTGGGAGAGCCAGAGGGCCCAGGGGCTAGTCAGCCCTCCCCACCCTCTTGGTCCTTCAAGGATGCCAGCGCAAGACGGCCAGGATGGGGGAGCACCACCCAGAAATGCTGTGCCCTGCATTGGACAAAGAGGGGACACAGGTCCCCAAGCTGCCAACTGTGTCCCTGCGGCTTCTCCCCACTCCTAGGCCCTAAGACTCCAGAGGGGCAGCGGTGATTGGGGGAGGGGCTGGTGCCCCTTTCCCCCTGGGAGACGCGCTCCTTCCGGCCCACCTCTCAGACTGGTTACAAGCTGCACACCACAGGGGCTGTTTCTCTCTGCCAGGCTCTAGCCCCTGTGCCTAGTACTTGGCTGCCAGGAAGACTGGCTCAAGGGGAGGGAGGAGTGGAACCCTGGCCTCTGCGTCCCCTGCTGCCCTGCCACCCTGACCTGTGGCGGCCTGACTCAGTACCCAGTGCAGGTATGTGGCTGCGTCTGATTTGGTCACCCCCCCCACCCCCGCACCCCCTTTCCATCATGGCTGCATGCCCACTGACCAGGGACGGCACCAGCACTTCCGGTAATAAGGCTGGCAGGAGTTCTGGAGAGCAGGAAACAGCCTTCCTTTCCTCTTCTCCCCTGCCTAGCGTGGAGGGCCTGAAGACCCACCTCTAGAGTCGGGCCTGGCCTTCTGACAAGGCCGATGAGATCAGAAGCACGCACCCTTCCTTAGGGGGCGGTGCCCAC